CTGAGTTTATCACGCAGAGAAACTCCGAGCATAGCCCTCTCCATAGCTCGCTGAGCGACCTTGAGCTTCCTCATCCGGCCAGCAGTGAAGGACCACGTCTCAGTTCCGTATGTCATCACTGGCAACACGCACTGGGTGTACAGTCTCGTTTTCAAGTTTTGAGGTATACCTGACGAGAAGATGTGCCGTAATTTCCCGAACGCTGCCCAACCGAGTTGAATCCGTCGATTGACCTCTCGGTCGAAGTTGGACTTACCTAGTCGGACTATTTGTCCCAGGTAAACATACTCGTCAACAACTTCGAGCTTAGTGTTCCCAACAACTACCGGCATAGGTATGACATGGACATTAAACATGATCTTTGTTTTGTCCATGTTCATCTTAAGACCTATCCGTTGGGAAACACTATTGAGGTCATTGAGCATAGTGCTTAGGTCCTCCAGCGATTCTGCCATAAGGACTATATCTTCGGCAAATCGAAGGTGAGTGATGTACTCGCCATTGATGTTGATACCGTATCCTTTCCAGACCAGAAGCTTGAAAACATCTTCCAACGCAGCGGTAAAGAGTTTCGGGGATATGACGTCACCCTGTCTTACACCTCTCTGCAATTGGATAGGTTTCGTACTCTGGTTCTGTACTCGGATAGCCATCGTAGCCCTACTGTACAAGCACTTCAACACTTCGATATACCGACAGTCAACTTGGCATCGCTGAAGGGACTGCAGCACCGCCCAAATTTCGACGGAATCTAAGGCTTTCTCATAGTCCACATACGCCAGACATAGTGGCAAATTGTACTCCTCGGACTTCTGTACAATTTGCCGAAGGGTATGTATGTGGTCTATGGTGCTAAAGCCTTTTCGGAAACCGGCTTGTTCGGGAGGCTGGAAGTCGTCAAGTCTGCGCGCGAGACGATTCGTAATGACTCTCGAAAACAGCACGTAGACGCGGCTCAGAAGGGAAATCGGTCTGTAGTTATTCAAGAGAGCGTTGTCGCCTTTCTTGAAGAACAAGACCACCGCACTTCTGCTCCACGCCTCCGGTGTAATGCCACCATGGAGGACGGAATTAAAGAGCTTCTGAAGGACTTCAAGTACCGGTTTTCCACCCGCTTTCAGAAGCTCCGCTGTAATTCCATCCTCGCCTGGGGCCTTGCCGTTTTTAAGGTGCTGGAGAGCCATTCTAATCTCGCTCAGACTGACGTCCGGGATATCATCGGAATAATGTCGGATAAGACTCGCTCTTGGATCGTTACTCACACTTGCGTGCGGCTCCAACGATGACGTGTACAGCTGCCCATAGAACCTCTCAATCTCACTCAAAATCTCAGGTGCCCCGGAAATGATGCTGCCACATTCTGTCTTCAGCTTTGACAGTTGGCGCTTTCTGGCAGACAGATCTCTGGCAAAGACTTTGGAGCCTTGGTTCCGCTCGATCGCTTCTTCAATACGAGCTGTATTGAATTTGCGTAAGTCTCGCCGCGTGCATTTGGAGATCTGTCTGTTCAGTTGCCTGTATGCTGTCAAATCTGTTGAAGAATCTAGCTTCATCTCCCGTCTAACAGCCATGAGATTAAGAGTGTGATCGGAGAGTTTTTGTGTTCTTCTGCGGCGGGTCTTGCAGAACTTAGCTCCGACCGCATGGACAGTTTCCACGAGCTTGTCATTCAAATCGTCCACTTCATTGCAGTCTTCTAGGCACTGAAAACGGTTTTGTAACTCGAGCTGAAAGGTTTCGGGAGTTTGGATTAGAGCACGAGGGGGACGGAGCGTTGACTTCATTAGACGAGACCTCTCCAACTTAACGTTTAGGTTCAGTGTGCCTCTAACCATTCGGTGATCGCTGCCGGTTTTCACCCTCGCGATCACTGAGACATCACTGAACAGTTGTCGTCTGGTCGTCATAATGAAGTCAATCTCATTTTTTGTCGAACCGTCGGGGCTCGACCAGGTCCACTTCCTGTGGGGCCGCTTCTGGAAGAAAGAGTTCATCATAAAGAGTCCCTCTTTCTCCATGAAGTCAGCCAAATGCTGGCCCCTTGGGTTCCGTTGCCCTATTCCAAATTTCCTTACTTTCAGCTCACCGTTCTCTCTTGTGCCTAGTTTTGCATTGAAGTCTCCCATTAACACCGTATATTGGGTTTTGGAGGAATGCATGGCTCTAGAGATATCCTCATACATTTCCTCCACCTCCTGATCGGGGTGTGCCGAGGTTGGTGCGTAAACCTGTATGACCTTCAGCGAATACCGTTTGGTGATTCTGAGTATAAGGTACGCAACCCTCCTCGACACACTCTCAATCTTTACAACGTTGTTAACGAGAGACTTGTGGACGATAAATCCGACACCTCCTTGGGACAGATGGTCGCCCTCCCGGTAATGGAGCAAGTTGCCGGATTCGAGGATTACCGTGTCCTCCCCCTCTCTTCGGACTTCGGATAATCCTATAATATGCCAGCGTAACTTGTCTATCTCTTCTTCCAGCTCCACAATCTTCTCGTCAGTCCTCAGGGTGCGTGCGTTGTAAGTTGCCAGGTCGAGTCGTCGTAGGTGGCAACCGAACCTCCACCGGAGATTCTTAGCACCCCCTGCCCCGCCGTTACCATGGTCGCCACCGTAGCCAGGAATAGCGGGGCCGCCGGGGACTGGGGGCCGTTTATTATTGTCATTGCTCATGGGGGGTATATTGCCATAGTTGCCACGCTTGGCGAGCGGGTTGGCAACCGCAGTTTTTTTATTGTTATTTTGGCTATTATCAGGAAGATGCTGCTGCCCATCTCCTGCCTGTTTCCCTTTGTCGCCTTTTACGACACCCACGGGAAGATATGGGGTAGTGGATATTCTTAACCGCCACTACACGGCATAGTAGTCTAATAACATTTATTAATTAATTTTTGCTTAATTAAAATTTTAAACTTATTGTTCGACAATTTCTGCATATTTTCTGGGACTTAGCAAAAGCGTATCACGTGAAGGAGTTATTCACTCTTTATTTCTTTTCAGGTTGGTTCCGGACCAAACAATCTGCCTCAATATCACACTGTGTTGGACTTTCCATTGGCAGGTATACATTTTTATTTTTACACGTTATTTGAATAATAAACATCCCCTTAATTTTATGATTATATTTAATTCAATAATGTTTACAAATCTTTTTCTATATTGATATAAAATAATAAAATGGTATAACTTATTATATAATTTGTCATTTCAAATCATGATTACTACATTTGTTCTGAGCTGCGATTCACGATTACATAGATAATTGCAGTAGTATAATTACTCGAATAAAATACTAGAGGACGAAACTTCATTATATATTTACAGTTTTAAGATATTAGAATATAAAGTTTCTTGAAAAGACGAAGATTTTGTTGTAATTTCTACTATTCTATGAAAGAATAGATCCTAACGGTTATTTTTGAATACATAAACATTTTTGACTCGACTGTGGATCTTTGCGTAACTACGTACGTAGGCTGTAAATAAATAAATCCTGGTATATTTGACAACGAGGTTCACTTGTCTGCAGGAGGTAAACGTGGTCTGAAGCGGTCGCCGTCGGGCTGGCGCGGACTGTTCTGGCGCAGCAAGCTGCAACGGGCGCGCCCGCCCGCGCCCCACGCACATCTCTCCACGCCCCTCGCCGCGCCCCTCGCGCCCCTGGCGCCACAAACGCAACAGGTCGCGCCTCACTACCCTCGCCTTATTGGCATACTAAGCCCGCACCAAGCGCACACCGCACGTTGCAATTTCAACCTTACTACCTACACTTTAATTGCTGTTGTAGTACTCACTAAACAAGATTGCACACCACACATGCGCCAAATTAAACCTTATTTATTACATATATTACAAGAAACCTTACTGCCTACACCTTAAGAGCTTATTACTGAAATCAATGCACGCATCTCACACCACATGATCCGACCCCGCATCACACACATAATATAAACACTACTAGACTCTACTACTATCAGCCCATCACAAGTCCACTGTTGAACATAGGCCTCGCCCATAGATTGCAACAAAGTATGGCCCTGAGCCACCTGCATCCATCGACTGCCTTTTACACACACACACACACATACACACACGCACGCACGCACACACGCACACACACACACACACACAACAAATCTTACTATGATCGCCTTAAGTTCCACTGTTAAACTCATTTGATCACGCTTGGCTGCAAACACTACTGTAGCGCGCGTTTCCCACACCATGCGCGCTTCACCGGACCGCACAAGCTAAATTAAACTTTACTGTTAACGCCTTAACTTCTATTGTTCACTTCTTACTCAGTATAGCGCCCCAGGCAACCATTACGACTGAGGCGTGCTTCTCACCGTATTCCCCACCTTACTGTCTACGCCTTAAGAACTATGAATATGCTGACAGTATAACTGAGGCGCTTACCACGTCGTATGCATCTTTGCACCACACGCACTAAACTCGACCTTACAACATACGTCTTTAGTGCTATTGTTGAGCTGAGAAGAGCTCACCGCACCGCACGCTTATTTCGTACACCAATCATCATTGTTATTACAGCCCAACACAAATACACTGCCGAACATTGGCCTTCCACAAAGTATTTCATAATACACGATCCTACCTGATCGTCACTCCATCTAGTGGAGCAACCTTTAAAATTAGTTTCGCTTGCCAGTTCCAGGCTGCCACTTTAGAACCTTTCTTCACTATCGGTTATCCATTTTTCGAAGCATATGGCCGGCCTATTCCGCTTCAGTTTACTGATCCATTAGGTTATACGAGTTACTCTGATTCTACTGCAAAGACCTTCATCGCAAAGTCCATCACGCAGAAAAACTTCGAGCACGACCCTCTCCATAGCTTTGTTTTACACACTCGATTAATTATATACAATTTAGCTTGACTTACACAAGTAGGAAATAATAATTAAGTAAATAAGAGTTCTCTCGATAGAAATAATCAGGAATGAAATTTCAATTTGTGTCACAGGACGTGATAATGTGTGGAGCTCTACGTCCGGTGAAGTCCTGTGAATCTTTGGCCTCTGATACCGACACACTGGCTCCCTTAGCAGAGAAAGCCAGCGCGCCTCTAAAGCACCACACCAGGTATTAATTTTTACCTTCTCTTCTTTTTAAGTTCTCGTTGAGTTTTGAACGCTGGATTTGAAGAGCACATTCCAATTTAATTTGTGAATATATTTATATATCATATTATGATAATATATTGGTGGTACCGTTAGTTGAGAAATAAGTGTTCGCATCAAATTTTACATTACTCGACGGAGAAGGAAAACATCACGACAGACCTGCTTATCTGAGAAATAAAATATTTAGACGGATTAATTATCCCCTGTTATAGCGCAATTAATCCGTCAAAGAAATGTAAAATTCTCCTTTTAGAAATGATTTTAAGAGGAGTTTTACACAGCATTTAATATTTAATTCCCCACCTGGAGCAACGAGAAATTAACGTTAAGCCGCACTACAGCCAACAGTACATTACGTTGATTTATTATAGTTTTCCATTCGCTTTAAGGATTGTAGAAAGTCAACTTTGCTTTCTACAATAGCCGCCTTATTCCAAAACGCGGACTTAATATAGTACTGGAGTTAGTAATATATTTAAACCATAAACTAAGAAAAACGTTATTACAAAACGAAGATTATCTCTGGTTCAAGGATTATCTATGGTATTAAAGTTAATCTTTCGAGACCCCTAGTTTAGCTATGGTACTAACCTTTCTATATAGTTTGTGGTACTCTATACTAACCTCAATTTCGGTACTTCTTAATTTGAGGTGAGCGTTGTTTTCATTTGGTGTTATTAAAATCGTTAAAAATGGATATTAACATGATTGACTTGATGGATTTAGAAGATTTGGACATGCTAGACACCACTCGGCGACCTGATAGACATCGACATCGTGTGAATCCGTTTGAATTGAGTGACGAAGATTTAAGGTATAAGTATAGGTTCTCAAAACGTTTCGGAGAAAAAATAGTGGGTATCTTACGTGAGGATTTAGTGCACGACCCTCGAGGATGCCCATTGAGTCCTGAAATTCAAGTGGTTTGTGCATTACGCAACTGGGCTCGCCATGAAGTAAGTGCTGTTTATAATCTTGGTGGGGTCAATGTACCTAACATTACGCTAGATAAAAAGCCAAATAATACATATTATTGTTTTATTCGTAGATTCAAGACGATACAGCTGATTTACATGGTGTGTCTCAACCAGTAGTAAGTAGGACATGTAAAAAAGTAGCGGAAATTTTGTCACGGAAGTCCCGAGAATTTATTAAAATGCCTATTACTTTAAATGAACAGCAGGAAACCATTAGGAAATTTCGCAGTATTGCTAATTTTCCTACAGTAATTGGCGCAATTGACTGTACTCACATACGAGTAAAGAAAGTGAATGCTGATGGGGGTCAGTTATATATTAATAGAAAAGGATTTTCTTCAATTAATGTACAGGTAATATACAAATATTTTAAATAGCTGTGATTGTCTCTTAATAACTTTACTTTATCATAATAGAAAATAATTTGTTTGACTATCTTATGGTAATAAATATATATTAAAATAAACCAGAAAAACATAAAGTACTAATGAGCTCTTATTTTACAGGTGGTTTGTGATGCTGACCTGAAAATCATGGACATTGTTACCAGGTGGCGTGGTAGTGTACATGACTCCAGAATATTCCGAGAATGTAGACTAAAACAGAGGTTTGAGGCTGGTGCATTCTCTGGAATATTACTTGGTGACAGTGGCTATCCTTGTACCCCTTACCTATTTACACCGCTGCTGAACCTCACAACACCACAAGAAGAAAGATATAATAGGAGCCATATCCGTACCAGGAACACAGTGGAAAGATGTTTTGGTTTGTGGAAGCAACGGTTTCGTTGCCTATTAAAAGGTATGTTTGGAGATATTGAAACAGCAAAAAAAACAATTGTTGCATGTGCTGTACTACACAATATGGCCATCGACATGAGAGAAGATGTGTTTTCTGGTGAGAGAGATAGCATTGAACAATATTCATCTGAACCTATAGTACAAAGATATATTGCACCATCAATAAGGGGAAATATTAGAAGAAGACAGTTTATTGAAACTCATTTTCAGTAGGTAAACATTTTTTTTTACATATTTATATAGCTATTTATAATTAAAATTAATAATTATATTTATAAAATTGTCAATTTTTTTTCAATTGTCTAAAGCTATGTATATATAATTTATTTTATTTTGTTATTCAGAGGCCAATTTTGGCTATAAAATTACATTAAGGATCAATAAATGTATAAGACAATTATAATAATATTTCTTTTTGATTTCAGAGATAATACCCATTTATAAAGGAAAATATTTCTGCAGAGCCGTTGTCAGTTGTCAAAGAATAACGACTACATATTCACCAATATGAAATAAATTCAGGGGAGTATTGTGATAATATTTCATTTATTGAGCAAAATGCTTTTATTTAGGCTATAAATGATTGTGTTTCAGGGAAAGATGCGGGGTACAGCACATTCCACATCAATATGAAGCTATATTATATAAAGATTTAAGTGCTTTAGAGATATGTTTAGATTTTTTAATAAATATCGTCCCTCCTCTACATTCACAGCCGGATTTCCTTTCCAGAGGTGCACGGGTCCACGGGGAGTAGGACTGTATGATGACTAAGTAATTAGGTTTAGTTTTTTTTATTATAGTTTTTTACTATTGTATATTATATTTCATTGTTATGTCAATAAAATGCATATTAATTATAATTATTTATTTTAATTATTAATAAAAGATGTACAAATATTTGCAGCAATTTAGTACCTGAAAATAATTGTTTCATATATGAGGATATTTACAAACATGTATCTGATATAGTCTCAAATATTTAGTTTTTTTTTATAGGATAATGGTGATAAACACAGTCTACCACACACACACATACACACACAGTCCATCTGATGTTAAGTAACTGCTGTGGTGCATAGACGTCCACATCTATCCTCGACTACAAATCAAAATGCAGATGCGTTGTCACCCGTGTGGAGTAAGATGGAATGCCTCGTTTCCTGTAAAAGAGGTCTCTCTCATACAAAATTTGTACAAAAATTTATCCAAAATTTGTCAATAAACAAGTTTAAATGTTTTATTAAAGAAAAATTTTATAAAAAGGTTATTATAATATCAAAGAATACATAAATGAGAATATTGGAAATACTGGAATTGAGGTGATCGCCACCATGGTGGTTCTATTAAAATTCATTTAAAAATTGTACAAATAAAATTATTGTTAAGAGAAATATGTTTATAAAAAAGTCCCGCTGGGTTTCCTACTAGTTCTTCCCAGGACTGAGGTATTTTCCGAACCAGTGGTAAATAAAAAATGTCTTTCAATAAGTATTCTGTAATAATCTATATTTAATAAAAATCATTCTATTCTATTCTCATTCTATAAACTCACCATAATAAACACAGCAGCATTAAGCTGCTATTTAACTTGTGTTTTTCTGACTTTCTAATAAAAATATTTGTAACTCTAATTTTCTAATTTTTAGGTTAGCTATTTTAATATTGTATTTATGTTCCTCTTCCATCATTTCCAGTTGTCTTTTTTTAAAATCTGTGTTACTTTTTACAATTGTTTGGTGTACATCTTCTCTTCTGTAAAATGAAATGGAATACTTAATGTAAGTTTTGTAGTTATTTTAGAAATTTACAAAGTATTCTAGAGTAATAAAAGTGCACTTAACCTTGTATACCAATTAAAGAAATATTTTTTAATTATTTTTAAATCAATTCATATTAAACTTTGCTTTTAATATTTGAAAACATGAAACAATTTTCAGTGTTTAAATACTAATTTTCACATTTTAAGAAGTATGTAATGTATCAGACTATGTAATTTTTTCAACATACCTATTTTGCAAGCAATTTTTCCTGTTTTTAATTTTTGTTATACCCCTAGTAATAATATCTTTATTGTTGGTTATTTTCACCATTTTGGCACTTTCTTCTGTATCTGTAGTTGGATCTATCTCTAAAAATTAATATAAATATAACAGTTTTAGAAAATTAACATTTATAATATTTACAAACTTGTATGCATATGATTGTAACTATAATAATAATATATTTTGCTTTTTAATAAATAATCAGTATTATTTACCTTGCACATATACAACATTGGGTTCTGGATTTTCTACATTTTTAACTATAGCTGTGTCTGTTTTTTTCAAAATTAAGGCGAGGCTTAGGGTCAGCAACTTCTTTTGATGTTGTAGCCACAGTCACTGGATCCTAAAATAAATCATTAAAACATTTATTAACATGTTTTCCTGTCACCTGTCATCTCTATTTTGCCCTTTATTGAATCAGGTATTTTCTATGTTGTAGAAATATTATTATGATCCAAGACAAAAGGTAATTTAATAAATTATTAATTATAATACCTAATAGACAAAAATAGAAAATTATAATCGGACTGTGTAGATAATCTAGTAAAATGTGTGTTATGATATTATATAGACCACTATATATGAATATGTGACATTTCAATTTTGAATATAATTAATTATAAAGAAATTTATGTTAAATTGTTACTAAGTATATTAAATTTTGAATATTCGGAAAATAATTTTGGATTGTAAATTGTATGCTTTAAGAGTAGATTTCAGAGCACTACCTAGGTACTAAAGTAATGGAAAATAAAGTTCTTTAATTTTAATTAAATTTGTAAGACATGTAAGTAATTTTATTTACCACTGCATCACTATCATAATTATTAACTTCAACGATAAAGTCGTGAGGGGCAATGGACATTATTTCCAAGTCCTCAAGAGAAGGTGATGGAGGTTTTCCGCCACCCCCGGTCTTTGATTGTTCCCTCCTATATGTGTATAAGTTTGATTTAGCACACAACTTCATTCTTTTCCAAGATAATTTCAATTCACCATCTGATCGGCGTTTACCTGTTATCTCATTAAATCTAAAAAAAAAATACGAAATCACGTAAACAATACCGTACCTATTTGTACACATAACAAATGCGATAAGTACTTACTTATTAGTTATATTCTTCCACTCTTTTATTTTTTGAATATTTACTGACTGTATTGTGTGCTGACAAATAAATTTCGATATTTCACTAACTTTTTCTTCAGAACTCCAATTTTCACCCCGTTTTTTCTTTTGTTCCATTATTATATAAATATAATTGTAATAGCAAGTACTTAATTAATTATTAATAATTTAATTTACTTATTATAAGGCTGCAATATAAACTATTTTGAACGTCTCGAATCCCGCGCTCGCGTTACCTCTGTAATTCACTACATTTCACGCTAGAGTTGTTAAACTGAAAACAACTTGATATAATCAAAAGCGCGTCAAAAGTATATGTCGTGCTTGTTCAATAGATTTTAACGTAAACAAATAACAATGTATGATATGTTTTTGTATTGATGGATAATTATTTAAGCATAATTAAATGTGAAAATAATATTAATATTTTATGAAACCGAACGTTGCATTGAATGAAACCTGTATGAACGAATGATAGAGTGTCATTTTTTGTTTTTTATCTGTGAATGATATTTAATATAATACTAACGTTGGTATTAACTGGTCCTCGGGTAGTCTGCGTTTTGTAATAAGCACACGTTTTAGTGCTGGTATTAACTAGAATATTGTAACAAACCTGGACTTCTTACTCCTAAACTTAACCCAGTACTAAAACATTTTTTTGGAATAAGACTGTAGGTGTTTATCATCATTACAGCCCTTCACAAGTCCACTACTTAACATAGGCCTCCCCCAAGGAATGCCACAAAGCACCACCTGCATCCGTCGACTTCCTGCATGTCTTACTAGGTCGTCACTCCATCTAGTGGGGATTGCCCTACACTTCGCCTACCGGTACGAGGCTGCCACTCGAGAACCGTTTCTCCCCAGCTATATGGCTGGCCCATTGCCACTTCAGCTTACTAATCCGTTGGGCTATGTCGGTCAGGATATAGGATCAGGATCTACTGCGAGTATCCTTATTTCTAAGTTTATCACGCAGAGAAACCTCAAGCATAGCACTCTCCATAAGTCATCACTGGCAACACGCACTGGTTGCCAGTGATGACTTATGGAGATCTCCTTTTCAAGTTTTGAGGTATACCTGACGAGAAGATATGTCGTAATTTCCCGAACCCTGCCCAGCCGAGTTGAATCCGTCGATTGACTCGGTCGCAGTTGGACTTACCTAGTCGTACTATTTGTCCCAGGTAAACATACTCTTCACCAACTTCTAGCTTAGTGCTCCCAACGACTACTGGCATAGGTGTGACATGGACGTTACACCATGATCTTAGTTTTCTCCATGTTCATCTTAAGACCTATCCGTTGGGAGGCACTATTGAGGTCATTGAGCATAGTGCTTAGTTCCTCCAGCGATTCTGCCATAAGGACTATATCGTCGGAAAATCGAAGGTGTGTAATGTACTCGCCATTGATGTTAATACCGTATACTTTCCAGTCCAGAAGCTTGAAAACGTCTTCCAACGCAGCGGTTAGAGTTTCGGGGATATAACGTCACCCTGTTTTACCTCTCTGCATTTGGATAGGTTTCGTAATCTGGTTATATACTCGGATAGAGATCGTAGCCCTACTGTAGAAACACTTCAGCACTTCGATATACCGACAGTCAACTTGGTACCGTTGAAGGAACTGCAGCACCGCCCAAATTTCGACGGAATCTAAGGCTTTCTCATAGTCCACATACGCCAGACATAGTGGCAAATTGTACTCCTCGGACTTCTGTACAATTTGCCGAAGGGTATGTATGTGGTCTATGGTGCTAAAGCCTTTTCGGAAACCGGCTTGTTCGGGAGGCTGGAAGTCGTCAAGTCTGCGCGCGAGACGATTCGTAATGACTCGAAAACAGTACGTAGACGCGGCTCAGAAGGGATATCGGTCTGCAGTTCTTCAACAGAGCGTTGTCGCTTTTCTTGAAGAACAAGACCACCATACTAAACCGTCCGAGTTAACTCCGAATATCGACAATTTGCTACAGTGTGCAGTGTACAGGTATACAATACTGTCGCGACGGAGTTAACGTGGGGATGTGAGCGGGTGAGTGGGAGCGGCAATGCATTTCAACGAGGTTAACTCGATCGCATGTTTGTTCAGAAACATAAATTCTTTATTTTAGGTATATTTGTCTCTTTGTAAGATAAGGTAACCTAGGTAAGGTTTATAATACACGTGAGGCATAATGACTAACGTGAAATCAGTTTTGTATTGAATTTATGGTATTTAAAGTTTTTATGAATGTCAGAATCTACACTCTGTTTGCAAAACAGACTCAAATATAGTCTGTTTGTGGTAGGCCTTTTTTTGCGAACTTTAAATAAAGCCTAAATTGAATAAAAAGATTTTATATTGAGTAGACCAAGATTACCTATGAGTCTCGGTAGCTTTCGATGGTGTTGGGAAATTGTTAACGTGGCAATCAGTGGGGATGATGGTATGCGTTGTTGTCGGCAGGTCGTCGTCGTGCGACTCGTACTTCGAGCCGTGGCAGGCCGAGCTGGCGCACATGCGGCTGCGGCTGTCCCCGCAGGAGCGCGACCGCCACATGTTCAGCGAGGAGGACGCACAGGTACACGACCATTCCCCTATACATATTAAATAATACGTCAAGAGAACATTTTGTGTATCTTTTTAAGCGTATTGCGTGCACGGAGGTATGTGAGATTCAAGATAGCTAAAGTTTATATCAAGAAGGAGTGCATGAAACTAAAATTTTATATATGTTTATTTTTCGATTTGCTCCGGCTTCGCACGAATGATATCTAGATCCCAACATTAGCGCCTCCTACCAGGTCCAATTGTGAATCTAAACGATTCAGGGACCCATTAAAACAAATATACGGAAGAATTATATCAGATATGTGTTACGAATACATTGAATTCAATAATTTTTTTTTAATAAAATAAATTAAAACAATTACTTACTGTGGTCAAATAGTCGCACCAGGTAAAGATTTTTGTCTAAGAATTTTTAAATGTTGCCAAAAAATAATTACTGCTTAATTTTGTGTGATTTTAAACGTTCTTTTTTTCAATGAATGGCGTGTAAGTCTGGCAAAAAAGAGTTTATTTTACACGTGGTAGAGATACCGCAGCTATATAATTTGGTTATAATACGAATGAGTTGGCTCGATCGGGGAAGATCACGCTCTAACAGAATACAACGTAAAATAGCAGCTTAATGCTGCTGTGTTTCGTATGGTGAGTAGAAAACTGGAAAACCTTTTTACTGGAAAAAAGGTATTCAATCTTAGTCCTCAAGGATGGTAACGAATCTGTATTTTGATTCTTAATACATAGATAGATGTAGATGTTCACGGAACACAGTATCCATTTAGAATCAGGTAGATTATGTGCTCGTTTATCACCTATATTTTACAAAAAACCATCACAAAGCATACTCATTACTACGGGAAAATAAGTTACCACGGGAGAACGAACATGAAAACTTTAATTCACGCGGATGAACCCACGGGCAATAACTAATACTATATAACGACTAACAGTCTAACTGCCCATAACCGGTCTATGGGCCACAGAATCTACTTACCATCAGTTAATCTGTGTGCTCGTTTGTCACCCTTACGTCCATTAAACATATTGTAATTCCTCCAAATGTAACACGCATAAATACACAAAGATTTGTTAAGTAGCATAATGTATTTGGTTGCGTGCAGGAATCTCAGTGGTCGTCGCCGGTGCAGTCGGGCCCGTGCAGCGCCAGCGCCAGCCCGCGCCGCCTGCGCGTCGACGTGCACGCGCCCGCCGACCTGGCGGACAGGTACCTTACTACCGCACCTTGTTTCCTTTCCTACTAATTCATCTGTATATTATTTACAATCAAACCATGGTTTAAGGTAAATACGTATACGTAGTTAATATAAACTGAATAGGTAAAAAAATAGAGAAGGTAATAAACCGAGGCCAATCCTCTGTTTTTTCGTAAAGGAATAGAAAAAGAGAGATATAATGAGAAATTAGACGAATCTTAAAAAGATATATGTCACTGAAGACAATCCAAGGAAAGTTCTTGCTAAAAGGAAAACTTTACATGTGAAGCTGGTAGAAAAAAGGAAGCAGGAAAAATTTGCATTTTTGAAGTATGTCAAGCTGAAGGGAAAGAAACAAAAAGAAAACGGGAAACTTCTTTTTCACCGTATTCTTCCGACATTCAACCTAAAAACCAGCAAACCTTCATATCCTTTTAAGCCAATAGAACCAGCGCATTTGATGTGATGAGAAACAGACCCAACTCACTAACGTCCCTACAACTTACAAACAAACACCAATAGCAATTTACTCTCGGCACTTAGCAACATTATTTTCATAATGTAAATAATTTATTTCATATAATTTAAATTTAAAAAATTTATACAGCCGACTTCAATATAAGATATTAAGAATAACTCAAAAACTATTGGTCTGACCTTGATCAAATTCATATGGGACTACACGAGAAGTACCAGCTTTCAAATAAAAAAAAAGAATTGTCGAAATCGGTTCAACCAGTAAAAAGTTATGAGGTAACACACATAAAAAAAAAACATACAGTCGCATTGAGTCCGTTCCTTTTTGGAAGTTGGCAGAAAAATCAATTCGATTTCACAAGGAGTCGCTCGACAACTGATGCTGGTTTTGAGCTGATGAAATATATCTTCAATGCATGGGAGAATTCACAGGATGCTTGGGGTATATTCTGTGTCTTATCCAAAGCTTTCGATTGTGTTCACCATGAAACATTAAGCAGGAAACTTCAACACTTCGGTATAAGAAGTGACGCTCTTAAATATATTATTTCTTAATTAACACAGAACGTAAGCAATTGTCATTAATGACTATTAATAGTATGAGTTCTTACGGTCGATAGTACAAATGGGCGTGCCTCAGGGCTCAATTCTCGGCCCCTTTATGTTTCTTGTATATTAATGACTTACCTTATATACTAATGACACTTCATTAAATTTTCAAATTAAAACGACAATTACTAAAATATGACGCAGTAAATAATATTATATTATCTAAATTAGTAAATTGATTTAATGTTAATAATAAATATTAATGTAATTTTAAATGGAGGAGTTGCGCTTTGTCGATACCACCATTTTTCTTGGAATTACACAAAAAACGATTTTGTAATTTCAGTCGTAATTTTCCGGGGCTTTAGATTAGAGCATTAGGGGGAGGAGCGTTGACTTAATTTGAAGTGACCTCTCCAACTTATCGTTCAGGTTCAGTGTGCCTCTCAGCATTCACTGATCGCCGCCAGATTTTACTCTCGTGATCACTGAGACATCACTGGAACAATTGCCGTTTAGTGGTCATAATGAAGTTAATTGACGGCTCCGTGGTGCAGTGGCTTAGCAATGAGTTGCTGCGCTGGGGGCCGTGGGTTCGAATCCCGCACGGAACAAGTATTTGTGTGACCTACAAATAATTGTTCCGGGTCTGGATGTTTGTCCTTGCGCAATTTGTGTTTGTAAACTGCCTTCGCGACACGGGAGAAAATCCTAGTGTGGGGGTAACGTTTTTTAAAAAAAAGAAACAAAGGAATCTCATTTTTTGTTGCCATAGCCGTATACCAAGGCGTTACCCGATATTTCTTAGAGATTGTCGCTATATCGGTTACCATCAGATGGACGTTGTAGTAAGGTTACCAATGCAGCTTATTACTAGTTCACTGTTGAACATAGGCCTCCTCCAAAGATTGAGCGATATCTGCTATAAATGCCACGCTTGGCAGGCGGGTTGGCAACCGTTCTTTTTTATTTTTTATTGTTATTAGGAAGACGCTGTTACCCGTCTCCTGGTTTGTTTCCCTCTGTTGCCTCTTACGACATCCAAAGGTAGTGGATATTGTTAGACCGGTCAAGAACGTAGTAGGTACGTAATGTGTTGTATGTATATGTTCGCAGGCGGCGTGCAGCCATGGAGGAGCAAGTGGCGCAGATGGGGTACATCGACGGCGAGTCGCCGCGCGCCAAGCCCGCGCCCGAGAAGCGCCACGGCGCGCCGCCGCCGCCCGACCCCGACCCCGCCAAGAGGTACGTGCTGCGTCACTGTACGTACCGCCCGACCCCGACCCCGCCAAGAGGTACGTGCCGCGTCACTGTACGTACCGCCCGACCCCGACCCCGCCAAGAGGTACGTGCCGCGTCACTGTACGTACCGCCCGACCCCGACCCCGCCAAGAGGTACGTGCCGCGTCACTGTACGTACCGCCCGACCCCGACCCCGCCAAGAGGTACGTGCCGCGTCACTGTACGTACCGCCCGACCCCGACCCGCCAAGAGGTACTTGCTGCGTCACTGTACGTACCGCCCGACCCCGACCCCGCCAAGAGGTACTTGCTGCGTCACTGTACGTACCGCCCGACCCCGACCCCGCCAAGAGGTACGTGCCGCGTCACTGTACGTACCGCCCGACCCCGACCCGCCAAGAGGTACTTGCTGCGTCACTGTACGTACCGCCCGACCCCGACCCCGCCAAGAGGTACTTGCTGCGTCACTGTACGTACCGCCCGACCCCGACCCCGCCAAGAGGTACGTGCCGCGTCACTGTACGTACCTCCCGACCCCGACCCCGCCAAGAGGTACGTGCCGCGTCACTGTACGTACCGCCCGACCCCGACCCCGCCAAGAGGTACTTGCTGCGTCACTGTACGTACCGCCCGACCCCGACCCCGCCAAGAGGTACGTGCCGCGTCACTGTACGTACCGCCCGACCCCGACCCGCCAAGAGGTACTTGCTGCGTCACTGTACGTACCGCCCGACCCCGACCCCGCCAAGAGGTACTTGCTGCGTCACTGTACGTACCGCCCGACCCCGACCCCGCCAAGAGGTACGTGCTGCGTCACTGTACGTACCGCCCGACCCCGACCCCGCCAAGAGGTACGTGCCGCGTCACTGTACGTACCGCCCGACCCCGACCCCGCCAAGAGGTACGTGCCGCGTCACTGTACGTACCGCCCGACCCCGACCCCGCCAAGAGGTACGTGCCGCGTCACTGTACGTACCGCCCGACCCCGACCCCGCCAAGAGGTACGTGCCGCGTCACTGTACGTACCGCCCGACCCCGACCCCGCCAAGAGGTACGTGCCGCGTCACTGTACGTACCGCCCGACCCCGACCCGCCAAGAGGTACTTGCTGCGTCACTGTACGTACCGCCCGACCCCGACCCCGCCAAGAGGTACTTGCTGCGTCACTGTACGTACCGCCCGACCCCGACCCCGCCAAGAGGTACGTGCCGCGTCACTGTACGTACCGCCCGACCCCGACCCGCCAAGAGGTACTTGCTGCGTCACTGTACGTACCGCCCGACCCCGACCCCGCCAAGAGGTACTTGCTGCGTCACTGTACGTACCGCCCGACCCCGACCCCGCCAAGAGGTACGTGCCGCGTCACTGTACGTACCTCCCGACCCCGACCCCGCCAAGAGGTACGTGCCGCGTCACTGTACGTACCGCCCGACCCCGACCCCGCCAAGAGGTACTTGCTGCGTCACTGTACGTACCGCCCGACCCCGACCCCGCCAAGAGGTACGTGCCGCGTCACTGTACGTACCGCCCGACCCCGACCCGCCAAGAGGTACTTGCTGCGTCACTGTACGTACCGCCCGACCCCGACCCCGCCAAGAGGTACTTGCTGCGTCACTGTACGTACCGCCCGACCCCGACCCCGCCAAGAGGTACGTGCTGCGTCACTGTACGTACCGCCCGACCCCGACCCCGCCAAGAGGTACGTGCCGCGTCACTGTACGTACCGCCCGACCCCGACCCCGCCAAGAGGTACGTGCCGCGTCACTGTACGTACCGCCCGACCCCGACCCCGCCAAGAGGTACGTGCCGCGTCACTGTACGTACCGCCCGACCCCGACCCCGCCAAGAGGTACGTGCCGCGTCACTGTACGTACCGCCCGACCCCGACCCGCCAAGAGGTACTTGCTGCGTCACTGTACGTACCGCCCGACCCCGACCCCGCCAAGAGGTACGTGCTGCGTCACTGTACGTACCGCCCGACCCCGACCCCGCCAAGAGGTACGTGCCGCGTCACTGTACGTACCGCCCGACCCCGACCCCGCCAAGAGGTACGTGCCGCGTCACTGTACGTACCGCCCGACCCCGACCCCGCCAAGAGGTACGTGCCGCGTCACTGTACGTACCGCCCGACCCCGACCCCGCCAAGAGGTACGTGCCGCGTCACTGTACGTACCGCCCGACCCCGACCCGCCAAGAGGTACTTGCTGCGTCACTGTACGTACCGCCCGACCCCGACCCCGCCAAGAGGTACTTGCTGCGTCACTGTACGTACCGCCCGACCCCGACCCCGCCAAGAGGTACGTGCCGCGTCACTGTACGTACCGCCCGACCCCGACCCGCCAAGAGGTACTTGCTGCGTCACTGTACGTACCGCCCGACCCCGACCCCGCCAAGAGGTACTTGCTGCGTCACTGTACGTACCGCCCGACCCCGACCCCGCCAAGAGGTACGTGCCGCGTCACTGTACGTACCTCCCGACCCCGACCCCGCCAAGAGGTACGTGCCGCGTCACTGTACGTACCGCCCGACCCCGACCCCGCCAAGAGGTACTTGCTGCGTCACTGTACGTACCGCCCGACCCCGACCCCGCCAAGAGGTACGTGCCGCGTCACTGTACGTACCGCCCGACCCCGACCCGCCAAGAGGTACTTGCTGCGTCACTGTACGTACCGCCCGACCCCGACCCCGCCAAGAGGTACTTGCTGCGTCACTGTACGTACCGCCCGACCCCGACCCCGCCAAGAGGTACGTGCTGCGTCACTGTACGTACCGCCCGACCCCGACCCCGCCAAGAGGTACGTGCCGCGTCACTGTACGTACCGCCCGACCCCGACCCCGCCAAGAGGTACGTGCCGCGTCACTGTACGTACCGCCCGACCCCGACCCCGCCAAGAGGTACGTGCCGCGTCACTGTACGTACCGCCCGACCCCGACCCCGCCAAGAGGTACGTGCCGCGTCACTGTACGTACCGCCCGACCCCGACCCGCCAAGAGGTACTTGCTGCGTCACTGTACGTACCGCCCGACCCCGACCCCGCCAAGAGGTACTTGCTGCGTCACTGTACGTACCGCCCGACCCCGACCCCGCCAAGAGGTACGTGCCGCGTCACTGTACGTACCGCCCGACCCCGACCCGCCAAGAGGTACTTGCTGCGTCACTGTACGTACCGCCCGACCCCGACCCCGCCAAGAGGTACTTGCTGCGTCACTGTACGTACCGCCCGACCCCGACCCCGCCAAGAGGTACGTGCCGCGTCACTGTACGTACCGCCCGACCCCGACCCCGCCAAGAGGTACGTGCCGCGTCACTGTACGTACCGCCCGACCCCGACCCCGCCAAGAGGTACTTGCTGCGTCACTGTACGTACCGCCCGACCCCGACCCCGCCAAGAGGTACGTGCCGCGTCACTGTACGTACCGCCCGACCCCGACCCGCCAAGAGGTACTTGCTGCGTCACTGTACGTACCGCCCGACCCCGACCCCGCCAAGAGGTACTTGCTGCGTCACTGTACGTACCGCCCGACCCCGACCCCGCCAAGAGGTACGTGCCGCGTCACTGTACGTACCGCCCGACCCCGACCCCGCCAAGAGGTACGTGCCGCGTCACTGTACGTACCGCCCGACCCCGACCCCGCCAAGAGGTACGTGCCGCGTCACTGTACGTACCGCCCGACCCCGACCCCGCCAAGAGGTACTTGCTGCGTCACTGTACGTACCGCCCGACCCCGACCCCGCCAAGAGGTACTTGCTGCGTCACTGTACGTACCGCCCGACCCCGACCCCGCCAAGAGGTACGTGCCGCGTCACTGTACGTACCGCCCGACCCCGACCCCGCCAAGAGGTACGTGCCGCGTCACTGTACGTACCGCCCGACCCCGACCCCGCCAAGAGGTACTTGCTGCGTCACTGTACGTACCGCCCGACCCCGACCCCGCCAAGAGGTACGTGCCGCGTCACTGTACGTACCGCCCGACCCCGACCCCGCCAAGAGGTACGTGCCGCGTCACTGTACGTACCGCCCGACCCCGACCCCGCCAAGAGGTACTTGCTGCGTCACTGTACGTACCGCCCGACCCCGACCCCGCCAAGAGGTACTTGCTGCGTCACTGTACGTACCGCCCGACCCCGACCCCGCCAAGAGGTACGTGCCGCGTCACTGTACGTACCGCCCGACCCCGACCCCGCCAAGAGGTACTTGCTGCGTCACTGTACGTACCGCCCGACCCCGACCCCGCCAAGAGGTACGTGCCGCGTCACTGTACGTACCGCCCGACCCCGACCCCGCCAAGAGGTACGTGCCGCGTCACTGTACGTACCGCCCGACCCCGACCCCGCCAAGAGGTACTTGCTGCGTCACTGTACGTACCGCCCGACCCCGACCCCGCCAAGAGGTACTTGCTGCGTCACTGTACGTACCGCCCGACCCCGACCCCGCCAAGAGGTACGTGCCGCGTCACTGTACGTACCGCCCGACCCCGACCCCGCCAAGAGGTACGTGCCGCGTCACTGTACGTACCGCCCGACCCCGACCCCGCCAAGAGGTACTTGCTGCGTCACTGTACGTACCGCCCGACCCCGACCCCGCCAAGAGGTACTTGCTGCGTCACTGTACGTACCGCCCGACCCCGACCCCGCCAAGAGGTACGTGCTGCGTCACTGTACGTACCGCCCGACCCCGACCCCGCCAAGAGGTACGTGCTGCGTCACTGTACGTACCGCCCGACCCCGACCCCGCCAAGAGGTACGTGCTGCGTCACTGTACGTACCGCCCGACCCCGACCCCGCCAAGAGGTACGTGCTGCGTCACTGTACGTACCGCCCGACCCCGACCCCGCCAAGAGGTACGTGCTGCGTCACTGTACGTACCGCCCGACCCCGACCCCGCCAACAGGTACGTACTGCGTCACTGTACGTACCGCCCGACCCCGACCCCGCCAAGTGGTACGTGCCGCGTCACTGTACGTACCGCCCGACCCCGACCCCGCCAAGAGGTACGTGCCGCGTCACTGTACGTACCGCCCGACCCCGACCCCGACCCCGCCAAGAGGTACTTGCTGCGTCACTGTACGTACCGCCCGACCCCGACCCCGCCAAGAGGTACGTGCCGCGTCACTGTACGTACCGCCCGACCCCGACCCCGACCCCGCCAAGAGGTACTTGCTGCGTCACTGTACGTACCGCCCGACCCCGACCCCGCCAAGAGGTACGTGCTGCGTCACTGTACGTACCGCCCGACCCCGACCCCGCCAACAGGTACGTACTGCGTCACTGTACGTACCGCCCGACCCCGACCCCGCCAAGTGGTACGTGCTGCGTCACTGTACGTACCGCCCGACCCCGACCCCGCCAAGAGGTACGTGCTGCGTCACTGTACGTACCGCCCGACCCCGACCCCGCCAACAGGTACGTACTGCGTCACTGTACGTACCGCCCGGCCCCTGCTATACTACAGCTATAACTGCAGCGTGGCTCTACCACATTTTTATTATTATTCGCCGGCGGCGTGACGCGAAAATTTTCCACTAATACCTTTTTCTACACCCAGTGCCCGAATCGTTGGGAATAAAAAAAAGTTTAAATTAACCGCGATAGAATCATTATAAGTAAGATCAAGTCAAATTCGAAAACTGATGCTCTACAAAATCAGTTGGTATACATAAACGTAATTAGATATACACCTAAACAATAACAAGCTTATAATAAATAAATTTAAATTTTTACTCTTTGTTTGCAATATTTTAAAGATTCACAATTTTTCTTAAATGCACAAAGATCATTGTACGATATTGTTCGTGTTGGGCAGCCGAACTTAAGTACTTAGGTGGCGGTGTAAGAGAATCAATCACATTATGTTGCGTATAACGTCGTAAGAGGCGACTTTGGAAAATGCTAGAGAAGTCTTTTGGCTACCGATGATAATGGTATACCATCTCTTTATACCAGACTTACAACATCCAGACCGGCCACGGACAGCAAATTCAGTTTGCCATATTTTGATATTATCCTTATCTAACATGTGACTCACTAATATATGTGAGGTTGTAGAAAATAAATAAAACTCTTCCGTGTGTTTATGTACTCCTTTTAATTACTTTTCTACAAATAAATTATTACGTCTTACAAAACCTCTGTCTATCCTCTCCCAAACCGAACAGATCGTCTTCCTTTCCCCGTCCTTTCACTCCATCGTCTCTCCTCACACCTCTCACACACTGATAGCTCATTTATAATATATTATCTGCTCCAATCTATCGTCGTGTCTTATCCTAACACTAAATAAAATTGTTTTTTAATATTTAACATTCACATTGATCTCAATCATACATGCTATATATTACTAGTGGTAGGACTCCTTTTGTGATGAAGTTGCACGGCTGAAATAGTTCTCGTTACAGATTGTGCAAGGACCGGGATAGTCCGCAGTCGTCTCTCTCAGACTTCCACAACTCTCCTGGGAACGTGAAACTTAGGTATCTTATTCATACGATCTTATGTTTATGTGTATTAATTTACCGCACTTTTGTTTGATAACTTCGTGTTGTATTTACTGTTTTTACCTTACACCAAACAACATCTGATATGAAATGTTTCTTTGAGTATAATAATTATTAAATTAAAAGATTTTATTATAAAAAAGATAAAGTTACAATTGAACTTATTACACATATAACATATAGGATTGCATTCAGAAATGATTTAAGTTTTTAAAATTAGTAAATTATCTTTTTTTTAAATAAATTAAGATAACGCGCACAAATTGCGAAACAAAACTAATATAATGCGTATTAAGATCCAATACCAATAAAGACTACAGAATTATAATCACTTTCCTAATATTTATCATGCTTAAATTAAAAAAATATATTACAGAATATTAAATATTGTGGTTTAACCGTAACCATTTCTATCAATTCTTATCACCTTTGATTTATTGATTTTTGTGGTTTAGGTTTTTAGTTTAGTTAGGTGTTAGGTTTTTTGATTGATTTATTAAAAGATTAATACTAATAGTTGTCCAATGGCATGTCTGTGTGGATCATATTTCTAAATGTTTATTTTGTATGCATTTCTGTCGATACAAATCCTGCACTCACAAATCTAACATACGCTTGCAGAGAACGCAACTCACCGCGGAAAGTTAAAAACGCTTCGCGCTACAGCGGCCTCCATCACCCGGTCGTTTCCGACCCGGATAAAAACACCCGGCTGACGTGGCACGGTAAAGATGGTCACTCCACCTTGATTAAAATAGACTGGCCCATCGAGAATTCGTCAGTCAGTAACTTGACAACTAGCACCATAAATTCTAGTCCACTCACTCCCGTCACGCCTGTATACGACCCACTCGAAAGTGACTCTGAAGTCAGCGAGAACAAACACACGATCAAAATAAAAACCACCGGTTGCGATAACTGCGACGAAGAGAAATGTCTGAAGTGCGAACTGAAAGCGACAGACTATGAAAACATGAAAGTGAGCCACGATTTCTCAGAAAGCAACTTGCACGATAGCTTAGAAGCTAGTCCTGCACACTCGATTGACATCAGCTATCAGAATCTTAACAGGTTGTCAGCCGTTTCGACGTCTTCCAACTCCGATCAGAATTCGGAGAAAAAGAAAGAAAATGAATTGATTAAAGTGATGACGTCATCTCACGAAAGTTCATCAAGTTACTCCAATGTGAGTTTAACGAAACAAGGGGACGAACTCTATGAATTTTTCAATTTCACAAGGCCTAACTATATAAATCTGCAGTCTTCGAGCACGTCCAAAAGTTCCCCCGGATCGCCATTAAGAAGTCCGTTAAAATCCACTATAAGCATCACATTTCGTTCACCTACTAAATCAAAAACTTTAGACTACGAACCTATAGACAATATTGATACACCTACAAATGAAAGGGATTCGGTTTATGAGGATATTGATTTGGAAAAGAACTTGTCTATAGTAGAAGAGGCGTCAGTACCTGAAACGGATGCCAGTTTGCCCACGCAACAAGCTTGTCAGCCTAAAGACTTCAGTGAAGACTTAATAATACTCGAAACCCCCACTGAAACAACTGAAGTCGATGATAATGTGGATGTCTACAGTCAAGTTAAGTTCTTTAAGAAGAGCATAGAAGAAGTCAATGCTATGATACTAGAGTCACCTGAAAAAGAAAGACATTATGAAAACGTATCATTCAAGGATACGAATGATAAGGAATATGAAAACATTAACGTTGATACTCTCAAAATCTGTGATAAAGTAGATATAAGTGATGTAGATGCAGATAAAAATGATCAAGGAGAGGAATCTGAAACAGTTGAACGCGATAATGGTAACGTAATAAATCCCGAAATTGTGTCAAAGAATCCCAATGTCAGAGAACTGGCCATACGCTTCGAAAGTCCTACCGAGCAGAAAGGTCCTTTCACGTTTGAGAAATTTAAAACTGAAAATAAATATCCAACATTAGAAAGAAAAGAAGGAGACAAAAAAATTGAATCCAGAAAAAAGGACGTCACTGTAAAATTACCTCCACCAGTATCCCCACAAACGTACAAACTTTCGAAAAATTCAGCGCGATCGTTAGACGAAAATGCGTTCATTAAGGAATTTGGTAACGAAACTAATGATAGGCGTAAAAGTTTAGAAGTTAAAGATGCAAATAAGCAGACAAAAAACCTCCCTGATCTGAATCTTAACACGGAAGAACAAGACACAAAGGTCGATAGTATAACACCAACGACAGAAAACAAAATATCACTGGTGCAAAGGTTCGAAATCAAGAAACCAGATTTGAAAAATCTTATAGGTATAGAGACCGAGAAAAAATTAAGTCGCGAAAGGATAGAGAAATATAAAGAGGAACGCAGAAACTTTTTGCGTGAAAAGTACAGTTCTCAGTCCTTCAGAAGTAGCCCGGAGCAGTTGACACGGATAAAAATTAAGAAAGATTCAGAAGATAGAACGGAAATTTGCGACAGACTGCAAGAAGATTTACCGAAATTCGAGCGCCGAAACACAGTGGACTTGGGCCAAAGGATGAGATTTTCGCTAGCGAGAAGCGCCAACAACTTGGATACAATTCCGTCACCTACTAGTCCCGTTCAAGACCTGGATTGTTCCTCAAATGTAGAATTTATCAGAAGAAGCGAAGACAGTAAAAGGGACAGCATACGTCGAGATGAAAGGTACGTATATGCATTTTGATATAGATTTATGTGTAATTTACCGCGCGTGTGATAGTTTGTTTTATATTTTCAACCATTTCAAATTGTGATAAATGTTGTGTTAATAACCAAAGACATCTATATGTATTACCAGACGGGCACTACGGTACTAAAGCATTGCGCACTAAGTTGAGCTCAATTCGCCGTAACTTCTTTAGTCAATTGCGAGCGGGCGAGAAGACTAGTTCTTGGTTTTGTAAACCGCGAACGTTATTTTAGAAAATCTAACACTGATTTTGTTAAATGTGACAAGGAAACGCTGTCATTATTTATGCGTAAACTTTGTCAACGTAATTTGAAGTTTTTAATTCACATAAATATGTAACTTTATTTCGTATTTGCCTTCAATCAGTAACTGTCGTAAATTAAAATACAACTGCTTAGCATATTTACCGTGCCAGCTAACCGGATGGCCGGCGTCCGCGCTATGCACTTCTGTGACAGTTTTTGTTATGAATTGTCGGCCTAGTAGTATACAATAGAAGTCTTTGTTAATAACCATTTAATTATAGGAAGGTGTAATTTGACGCAAACTGTTTCATTTCCAGTAACAATTAATCCACCATAATCAAGCATCCTGCTCTCACTTTCTGTTTATAAAATTTAACCAAATTTTCTTCATGATTTTTATAAAAGTAAATATATTGTGTTTGTAAGTAAATTAATTTAAAAGCTGACTTGTTAAAATAAAAGTAATATTGATAGAATTTATATTTCTACTTCATTAAAGTCTTAATATATTAAATAAAAAGTCGATTAAAATGTTAACATTACATTTAATTAATATTAAATTATATTTAAAATTAAAAACACAATAAACTTTTCTTTAGAATTAGTATGAATATAGTGCAATTGAGTAATAGTTTTATAATAAAATGACCTTCTTATTGACCGTGTTGCGTCGAGAGGCAGTGTTAACCCGTGGGTGTCGAAGAGGCGACAGAGGGAAAGAAAGCAGCGCCTTCCTAATAACAACTAGGAAATTAAAAAAATGCAGTTGCCAACCAGTCTGCCTATCGTGGCAACTATGCGAAATCTCCCCTATGAGGCAATCTATGGGGGAGGCTTATATTTAGCAGTGGACTTGGATAGGCTGTTATTTATGAATTAATTAAAAAATAATGGTAACAAGTTGAAATTATAACCTAATTATTTATTAACAGTGGTGTCAATTGTAAATAATTATGTAATTTACAGGAAGGAAAAAGTTTCACCTTCGTACAACATACGCGACATGGCCGCCATGTTCGAGCAGAAGTCACAGAACAGCAACGGTTGACGCCCAGCACGCACGTCAAGGTTGTACTAGATAGGACATTTTCAGAGACAGAGGAAGGAGACGTAGCTAGAAAACCCCTAAATATGGATCTGATAGAACATGGTTTAGATCACGTCCGAGGTGCGGAACGCGTACAGTTAGTGGATAATGAGGAAAACCTAGTCTTTAAACCAAGAGACGGCTTTGTCGTACTTTCGAGTTTATTATGTGGGGACCACGCTGCGGCTTTATGGTTTCAATGTAGCTCGAATAACATTTATTTATTCAAATGTTCTTTAAAATAAATAATAGTAAGAAAGAATAGTGATAGTTCCCAGGGGACACGCGCTAACCGCGCAAAAACTTTATCTAACTTTAAATACTATTTATAATTATACAATTCTCTAGCTACGTCTTCGTAAAGTTCAAAAGTGATAATATTTGTGCTTGCGAAAACATGTAAACGCTTATAAAACATACCCGAGCTCTCATATTTATATATTATTATATTATTCTACAACAGTCTGCTTTAATTTGTAAAGAAATTGGTACTCGGTCAATGTTGTTTCAAATTTCAACTTTATTTGATATAATTTACGGTACAAAATTATTTTAATGTTATAAATGTTTGTCCAAGTGTATTTTTTGAGATTACCAAGCATATTAATGCAATGGACAAGTTACGTACCGTTAACATTTCAAAATATTTTTAATTGTTGAAAATGAAATTTTTTGTCTTCCCGACGACTAGTAAATATATGATAACAATATACACTTTAGGAAGGAAATATACATGAATAATATTTTAAGCTTATTTCCATTTCGCTTTTTCGAAATTTGTCTATAAATAGAAAATTTAATAACAACTTTTGTCAATTTTATCACATATAATTTTATTTAAAATTAAAATTTAGTTCATATTAAAAAAGTTTAAAAATGTAAATTTAGAATGCGCCAGTAAGGAACATATTTCGATGACACCAAAGTAATTACGTTATATGCAGACTAATACTATAGTTGTTTTCTATTGTCATATAAAACTTTTAGAGGCAATCAGAGTCACACTGGCCTAATACTTTTTAAATACTGAGAAGCTTCTAGAACAGGGAGTGAAGTGGATTGATTTTGTTGTTTGTTGTAAAATAAGTAGTACGATTAAGCATTGCGGTATTTCTAGTTTTTGATTTAATTATAAAGTTACAATGTAAATAGAAAATTTATGCGTATTGCACCTAGTATGTATTGAATGAATAGCGCGTTCACAATTTGTAAATAATTTGTTTTCTACCGAAATGGGCGCTTGTCGACTGGTTTACAATTTTTTTTTCGAGATTTTTGTTCTCGGAACAGGTTTGAAGAATAGGTAGTAATTAAAAACTACGCCATTGTAAACTACAGTCTAGTAAATATAATCAGACTTGATAATCCAAAATAACATTATTTATTTACAATAATTTTACTTCGATTATGTTCGAGGATTAGGACCACAATCCGATAATTGAATTTCTAATAAATTTCTGTAAATTTAGTTACATATGACATTTAATTAATTTGTTGACACGTTGGATGACAGCTGTCAAAATTACAATATTTTATAATTCATTGATACGCAGCGTTATGTCGACAAGCGCACGACGTTGGTTGTCAAATATAAGTTGTTACAATTATTTATTTATTATTGTAGTCTCAAAATCTAATAATCTCTCATCACACTGACACACTTAGTATTATTATTTTTATTATATTGATTATGCACGTTTTCTTTTGTTGACGATACTTTTTTGTTAATTTCTTATGACCTACGTAATGTGAAAGGCTAAGCTATATCAGTTTATTATGTTTAAGTAAACATTAATAATTATGCGTTAAATAGAATTGGTAATAACATTCGCGTCATTGTGGTAAATGCTACTTAGTTACTGGCAATATAATTTAAAAAGGTTATGACGAAGGGATATATAAACTTTTTGAAAGAATTTAGAACACGTAAAAAATCTCAAACGTGAACAAAAAACATTTTTTTTTTCACTAAATCGCGTTCGAATAGCAAGTATGTCCAAGCAAGTAGTATGTTTTTGCAGGACTTAAAATTTCGACAATTTTGTTTTTCTGTTTATTACATGCTCACATTAAAACATTCAAAACACAAATCCTTGACAGCTTGAAGCATCGCTATAGGAATCTTACATTTGTTGACATGTGTAAAAGAGCAATAACAGGAATGCATTTATTACTATATTTTTGTATGCGATATTTAAATGTGCTCTCTAGAGTTAGACATTCTAATGACTTGTTGGGTTTTGAATGATACCTATATAATTTAAAACTATCAGTTTGCATTTAGCTAACATCAGGTTTGTCTGATATCGCATTTTATTTCTATAGACATTAAAATAAAAATCATTCAACCCAATGACGATGTAACGAACGAATTCTGTAAAAATATGTCTAACAAGTGAAAATGCATTTAAAGTAAACGAACACAAGTGGACAATAATAATTGAATTGAATTTGTAAAATATTCAATATTCAAAACTGAAGCATATTTGGATTCTGCTAAAAAGTGTTCGAAAACAAAATATTGTGACGTCGACGCCGTATTGAAGTGATGAGGCGCTCTGCCAAGGTGAAATTGGCGGTCATTGATTGGAAAAACTTGGCTTGACATGGCTGTACTACCAAATGAATTACTTTGTTGTGATATGTAGGAAAAAAAGTTTCACATGTGCCCGTCTAGAACTATATATAGAAGAAGTATTTGTTAAAAACAAATAGTGTTCAGACAATTGCCTCAACTTCTTTCACGGAAATACGTCATCCATGTACTTTATTGTATTCGAAGGATTTGTAACAAAGAATTTGAAAACAAGTACTTCCAAAATATTTGTGCATTTTTCTATAACACATTATATGAGATAAGGTAAGCGAAAAAATAGATAATATTGAGAAATTTTAACAATATTGAAATTGAATATAAAGGAAAATAAAAATATTTTCTCGATTTCCTCATCTCTAGAAATAACAGACTGTGACTCTGCCAAATAAATACTATGTAGCCAATTTCCCCCATTTTGTAAATCCCTTTTAAAACGTAATATTTATAATAAGTACCAATTCTGTAACATACTTAACTCATTGTATGCGATTTTCAAAATAAATATGTATTTGTAACTGTAAGTACCTTTGTAAAATAATATATAACTTGCACAGAAGCGGGACCGTGTTGGGATCAACTTTAAGATACGCATAAAAATAAATATTGAGATTTTAAAAAATGCCACGTTTTTTTATATTCTTACATTGTCATCCGATTTTGAGGTATATTCAAATTTTCAAGTCTCTAGCTTATCGGGGAGTTAATTTAACATCACTTCATAAATTCGACCCGAACAGACACATACACGAAAGCGAGTTAATAAAAACTTGGTAAAACAAGACGATTGAATAATCAGTTAATGTGTGATCAATCTGTGTTTAAAATTCGAAACTGTTTATCGATCTACAAGCATCAGTTATTGCACTGTCGATCGTTTTTATACAGTTGAAAAGTTATGTCTAATACCTGAAGACAATAGTTGTCTTCAGGTATTTTAAGCTATGTTACATTTAAGTAGCCTATTTTTTCATGAAACTATAATTTTCTCAAAAGTTGCGGTTCTAAATACGGTCCCGTGTTAAAATTGTAAAAATGAGCTTTAAGCGAGTGTGGACGAAGTGTCGCCACAGCCCGGCTTGTGACGTAGTGTAGCTGCGGAATAAGTGATTATACACAATAAAAAGTATTATCAAATCTGAGTGATGTTTATTTCTGCGCCATATGCCCTTTTGCGAAAGTAGATAACACATGCTGCCTTATTCAAAAGCAAGATTCTCTTCAGAATCCACGTCCCTAATCCCGTTGGTGTCGTAAGCGGTTGTCGACCCGCCTGCCACGAGGTAATTTTGTGGGATCCCTTATGCGGCAATGTATGGGGGAGACCTATATTCATCAGTGGCTTCGGCTTACTACCAGCTTGTGGCTATTGTGAAATAAGGCAATATATCTGGTTGCAGATACCCATAGGCTGCATTAGCCACCAGATGAGGGTAGATTTATAAAAGAAATATATTCTAAGAATGATGGCGATGACTCACTTCGTGGCTCATACGAATCGGTGTACAGATGAGTATCTAACCGCCGTCCGAAGAGTGTACAAAGTACAGAGTAGAGATTACAGGCTGTAGAGTTACAAAAAAACATTAAAACTTACATTTTCCCTATGAGATGTCATATATTTCACCTCGTTCTGAAATGGCGCCTCCCTGGTGGGCAGAAAAAGTGGTGGATGCCCTCATTAACTCGTTACGGGGTTCACAGATATAGGACGCAACGTTTAGGATCGGAACATAGTTGTCTGCGTTTACCACTAGAGGGCGCTTACTAAGTAGCGTTGAGACATCCATTGCCATTACAGCCTATCAAACCTATCTACTACTGAACATATTATTTCTTCGCCATGTATTGCCATAGATGCCACGCTTGGCAAACGGGTTGACAATCGCAGGGTTTTAATTTTTCCATCGCCTCTACACGGTTTTGCGGTGGCATTGTGATCTGGACATCACAGCGGTACAGAATTGTATTGTGTGATTTTTCGAGCACACTTAAATATGCAATGATACATATTCATATTTGTGGATAGAAGGAAACTTCAAGCAAAAACGTTATTTAAAAAGAAAAGTTTTTATTTACACGGTTAAACATTTATTGTCTAATCTATGAACGTCATAACAATTACATTTAGATACAACTTATTCTAGTGACACATTATCCAATTTTTTTCGCTGAAATTAAAAGTATACATTTTTTTATAATGAGACCAATTGGCAACACAAGACTCAAGTAATATAGTCTATTGTCACTCGACATTTGTGTCGAGTAATTCCAAAATACTCAAACGCTACTTAATTTTAAGATTGCGTTAAGTCTCGTGCTGTCTCTATCACTTTAAGTGTAAGTGACTGTGACACCACGAGACTTA